ATATACACATAATATATTATATCATTATACTATATAAGTATAGCTATATATAATACGTAGTAATAAATATACATATATGTAATAGTATAAAGTATAGAAATAGTACATATATATATTTACATGCATTTAGTAACTCATTATATAATAATAATATATATATATAATATATATAAACATACATAATATATATATAACAATAAGGGATTATATATTTCATATATCATATTATTATAAGTATTATATATGTATTATATAATGATTAAAATAGTCGAATTATATGTTACATAGATGAAATATGTGTATATATATTAATGTGATATATATATATTACTGTTATATATATATGTATATATAGTATGAGTGTGATATATAATATGTAAGTATATACATATGTATATATATAGGATAGGTGTATATTAGTGTATATATAATATACAGGCAGTATGGTATAGTAGTAGTATATAGTATTATATAGGATAATGATAGATATATATGAGGATAGATATATGTGTGTGTGTAGGAGTAGTAAGTAGTATATATCATATATATACGTACACAGTAGTATATAGTATATATATATGAATTATGAGGTAGTATGTATGATAGTAGTATATAGTGTATATAAATATACGTGTATATATTATTATATAATTACATAGTTATATGTAGGTAGTAGTAGTGTATATATAATTATTGTATAAGTAGTGATATATGGTATGATATGTATAGGTGATAATGGTATTATATATTTATAAGCATTTATATATATATATGTATATATTATATAAGGTATATATAATATAATGTATACTATATATATAATAGAAAGTAATGATGTATATATATAAATAAGATGATTATTATTATATAGTATTAAGTAAGATATTATAATATAGCGTAATAGTAACTCACACACATCGATCATATATATATATGTAATTGATAACGATATATATATAGCAGAATATCATAGTATATAACGATATAGGATATATGTAACTCATATAGTACTATATACATTTATATGTATATATATATATATATATATATAAATATACTAGTAATATAGTATACTATATAAATAGCATATATAGTATACTATACGATATACTGTATACTATATACATACTATTATATAATACAATATATATAGTACATATACTACTATAGTATATATAATATATATAATATATATATATATAATATAATAGTATTAACGCCATCTATCAATACATACATATACTATACGTATATACATAATATCTATATATATATATACATATATATATATATAATATAATATATATATATATATATAGTAATAGTATATATTAATATATAATATTATAATATATATATATAATATATATATATTATATATACATATATATATATATTATATATATAATATATATATTATATATATATTTATATATATGTATATATAATGTATATTATATGTATTATATGTATATTAATATATATATATATATATATTTATATATATATATTATATATATATATATATATATATATATATATATATTATATATATATATTATATATTATAATATATATATTATATATATATAATATTATTATATATATATTATATATAATATATATATATATATTATTATATATATTATATATATATAATATATATATATAATGTATATATATATATATACATATATAAATATATATATTTAATATTATTATATTGTAATATATATAATAAATATATATATACTATAATATATAATATTATATACATATATACATATATATAAGTAAATATATATAATATATATATATATATTATTTATATATATAATTATATATATATATATTTATATATATTTAGTATATATATAATATATAATATATTATATATATATATAGTAAATATATATATAGTAATATACATATATATATATATCTTATATATATATACATAATTATTATATATATTTATTATATATATAATATTATATATATATATATATATGATATATATATATATATATATAGAGACCACACAAATCACACACCATATAAGATAATATATTATAGGCTATGTGATAATTATTATATATAGTATTATATTTATATTGTACTATATATATACCTAGGTGCAATATATAGTATATAGAGATAGATTATATAGTATATTATATATATATATATATAATATATATATATACATCATATATATACGTTAATATATATATATCAGCTAATATATCATATATATACTATATATATATATATCATATATACTATATAAATATATTATATAGTATAGTGATATATTATGTAATATTAGCATTTGTATACTCGGAGGTAGGGGATATGTTAATATCTATATATACTATGATAACTAATATATTCTATATATATATACTGTACTATCATATACCTATATGTATACTATATATGTTGTATATATATTAATATACATGTATATAATATAGATATATATATATAACATATATATATACCTATATATATAATAATATCTATATCATATAATATATATATAATAATAATATATATATATAATATAATAATAATATACATATAATATATATAATATATATATATATATATAGTTATATATATATTATATACATATATATATATATATGTATTATTTATTATAATTTATTATATAGTATATATATATACAAATATAATATTATATATATAATATATATCATATATCTATAATATATATATAATATATATGATAATAGATATATAATATATATATAATATATATATAATATAATATATATTATATATATATATATATATATATAACATATATATATTATATAATATTATAGATATATATATAATATATATATATA